TGTAATAATTAATGTATATGATTAGATTGCCTTCAAAATAAAAAATAAAAAGGATGATTATATAAAATATGTTACACGTCAATAACATTATATGACTCAGTTATCTGATGGAAGATAAAGATAGTGTATAGAGAAACTGAGATCTTAGAAATCCGGAGGGTAAGGGGACACTGGCATAAGTTCCTTCGTGGGGTTTGCCTTCATAAATTTCGATCTTTCTTAATGTCTCTTTCTCTCTTAGAATTTTCTGAAATCCTCTAGAACTTTTGTTTTTGCTAACCTTTTCTCTAGAACTTTATATCAGCCTTACAATAATTGTGAATTTTAGATAGACGTTTTCTTAAAATAAATTACTCGTGGATCCAAATATTTGATGTGCATTTATTTTTTTGCTTAAAATGTGCATTTACTTTTGAAATAATTACATTGATTGTTGTTTTTTTTTTTTGCTAAATAAATAGATTTGATGTTTCATTTTTTTTTTATCAACAGATTGATGTTTCATTAACATATTTTGTGGTGCTTGATTTGCACGGTAACTAGCTCGCAAAGAAATTTGAAAGCTACTTTTTGTTTGAAAGTTAGTATTTACTTACTCTTACCCAAATTCTTTTCCATCGACGAGCACTTCGTTTATACGAATTTCTCTGTTTATATATTAAAAAAACTAATTACGGTTATTTTTGCGTGCACTTATTTAGAAGAAAAAAAAGCCAAAATACATACAGAGCCGTGCTTACCCCTTGTCGAAAAAGGCAATTGCCTAAGGCCCCAAAAAATTTCGTTAATATTTAGGGCCCCATTTTGTATATAAAATGCATTAGTTAGTGTTATATATGTTTACATACTTATGTACATACAGAATTTGATTGTATATATCTTATTTCTATATTTTAGTTTGGATTCTCTTTTTAGATTTTAATATATCACTAGGTGTTTTGCCCACACATGCGGGCTTAATAATATTTAAGTCAATTTTTAAAATTATCAAAATAAATGATTGTTTGAATCCAAATAATTCGATCTAAAACATTAAACTTATTTACATTGATAAAGTTATTCACAAATTAAATCAAATTTTTAATTTTTGTAATATAAAAATATTATTTTAAGATAACAACACCATATCTATAAGAATTATCTTATTTTTGTAATATGTATTTATTTTGACAATTATCATATAAATTATAATCAATAATCTAATATAATTTATAAATATAATTTTATATTATAAATTTTAATTATACAATAAATTATATATAAATTCATTAAGGATATAATCGATATTAACCACTCTAACTTTCCAATGCAAAAAATTCGAGATAACAACATAATATCTATAAAAGTTATCTTATTTTTGTAATATGTATTTATTTTGACAATTATCATATTAATTTATAATCAAATTTTTAATTTTTGTAATATAAAAATATTATTTTAAGATAACAACACCATATCTATAAGAATTATCTTATTTTTGTAATATGTATTTATTTTGACAATTATCATATAAATTTATAATCAATAATCTAATATAATTTATAAATATAATGTTATTATTATAAATTCGTTTTTAATTAGATAATAAATTATATATAAATTCATTAAGGGTATAATTGATATTAACCACTCTAACTTTTAATGTGGGAGTTCCATTGCGAAAAATCACTTCGCAAATAATAGTATAGATTTTATTTGTCTGTGAACATACCCAAATCTTAGACGAAGAGATCCTCTAGAAAAAAATTGTCTTAAATGTTGTCAAAATAAATAAATAAAATTGCCTTAGGCCTCTGAAAACGTTCGCACGGCACTGAATACATAACCATAACTGATCTCATATGATGACATGAAAAAATGATGAGTTGTGTATTTTTCAAAACAATAATAATAACAAAATGTGTAGAAGTATGTTCGTGTCAACATAGTAACCACTCGATGTCAAAACAAATACTTTTCTAGGGATTCAACCTAACTTTTTTTCTCCTTTTATAGATAGTCGAAAAATGGTAAAATTGATTTGAGACTTAAAGGTAAACGAAGTGCCGTTATATAAACTGTGATCAAAGCCGTGACGTTCTCTCCGATACAAAATCAACATTTTATAATATTAACTAAGCTATAATAAAAATTAAATAGGTACGAAAGAATTTTTCGTTGGACCTCGATCTTTTGCATGGGGATATGAGACATACGTCGCGAGCTGTATAAATAAGAGTGTGAGCACAGGTTTTATCTGAACAGAACTTAACCAAACAAATCCAGAGTTCACTAAACTTTTTTTTTATTCTTCCTTCCTATTTTTTTTTCTTCTTTTGAAGAAGTTAATCTGGAAGAAGAACTTAGACCATCAATTTTTGGAACTTTAACGATCAAATTCATCAAAACTATATATATTCAAAGATCATATTTTTAATTCCTACTTGTATTTAAGCTTCTTGATTCATCAAGAACCAGAGTTATTTCATTTTTCTTCACATTTTTTTTTCCTCTTTCTGTTTTCGGGGTGGTCATTAAGACATGAAGGTTAGTTTCATCATTCATATTCATGGACATCTCAAATGGTATCTGAAAATGAACATAAGTAATCATAAAAGTTTTTTTTTTTTTTTTTTTCAGTTCTTCGGATGGATGCAGAACAAGCTACATGTAAAACAAGGAAACATTAATAATAGACCAAGCACATCCTCCGCTTCTTCTCGTAAGTAAAAGATTACACAAGTTAAATTATAGACTTATAGTGTCTACTTATTCGTTGAAACAAATCTTTTAATTTACCAAAGTTGTTGTCTACTTGAAACATGTGCAATACTTTTTAACTTTTTTTTTCTTATGTTTGTAAAACATATAGATCAACCACGAGAGGAGTTCAGCGACTGGCCACACGGATTACTTGCGATTGGAACGTTCGGTAGTGTGACCAAAGAGCAACCACAAACAAAGCCTGTTCAAGAAGTGATTCAAGAAGAGAAGCTCTCTAACGTGCACGTGGAAGATCAAGATCTTTCTTCAGAAGATTTCACTCCAGAGGAAGTTGGGAAACTGCAAAAGGAGCTGACAAAGCTCTTGACAAGAAAGAACAAGAAGAGGAAGTCTGATGTGAACAGAGAACTCGCTAATCTTCCTTTGGATAGATTCTTGAATTGTCCTTCGAGTCTTGAAGTAGATAGACGAATCAGCAACGCTCTTTCTGGTGGTGGAGATTGCGATGAGAACGAAGAAGACATTGAGCGTACGATCAGTGTTATCTTGGGCAGATGCAAAGCTATTTCTACAGAGAGTAACGATAAGAAGAAGAAGAGTAAGAGAGATTTGAGCAAAACATCTGTTTCTTATCTCCTCAAGAAGATGTTTGTCTGTACAGAAGGGTTCTCTCCTCTTCCAAACCCTAGCTTGAGAGACACGTTTCAAGAATCTAGAATGGAAAAGGTAATATAGATTTTTAAATAACTAATTAAAAGTGTTTTGCTCGTGTCACTTATTATTTAAACGAAATATACAGTTACTGAGGGTGATGCTACTCAAGAAGGTTAATGCTCAAGCTTACTCAAAGGAAACACCAATGAAGAAATACGTGCAAGACAAGCAACAGCTTTCACTAAAGAATGAGGAAGAAGAAGGAAGAAGTAGTAGAGATGGGAGTAAATGGGTCAAAACAGATTCTGATTGTGAGTTTCCAGATCTTTTGATTTCTTAAATTTCATACAAAAAGAAATATGAACTGATTTGATCTGCTTCTTTTTGGTTGCAGTCATTGTTCTTGAGATCTGATCACAGATTTTCCTTTTGCATGTTTTTACAAGAAAGTATAGGTAATAATCAACCTTAACAATGAATGGTCATCTCATTTAGTTTTTGATTCTTTCTAGTCTGAATCTGACATTAGATCTTATGTTTTTTTTTTGCAGATAGGGAATCTTCACGTGATGATATCATGACAAGAACATTCAACAAGAAGTGATCAATCAATTTTCTTTCTGATGAAAGTTTTTGGGTATATGTAGATCCCATGAGTTTCTCATTTTTTTTGCATGTTTGGGTCCATAAAAACCAAACATGTTCTGGAAACTTAAACATCAGAATACAGTACATGAGACCTATATACATACATGTATGTATGTGTATTTTTCAGGTGGATAACCTTACACTTTGTTCTGTCCTATCATTCTTCAGTCAGCTTTACATAGTTTTTTTTGTTTGCTCATCTTGTAACACAGAAAATGATTGATCACAACTACCTATCAGATTTTTTTTTTGCCCAAGCCTTGTTACTTTATTACTTGGATCAAATATATTTTTTTGAAAATTACTGGAATCAAATATTACTTTTAAAAGTTGAAATATCCGAAAACTACAATCTGTAGTTTGAGTAAAATAATATAGTAGTATAACATTCAATCAAACATCAAATGATAAAACTACAAAATATGGTTCACTGTCATTTCCCTTGACCAAAAATAGTTCAAGGTTGTAATGTTCAAATGAATCGATGTTGACGTGCTTTGAATTTGATGATCAAATGTCGTTAGTTCAACCGTAAAACATCAAAAGTAAAGCTTATATATAACAAAGATAAGTGATTCTTGAGACAGCTAATATTAGATGTTATGAGTTTTGGTCTATGGCTTCCAATCCAGATAACTAAAAAAGAAGTAAATAGCTATAACAAATAACAAAAAAGAAGTAAATAGCTATAAAAAAAAGTATATAACAAAGATAAGTGATTCTTGAGACAACTATTGTGGTTTTTGGTCTATGATTTCCACATAACTAAAGAAACAAGTAGATAGCTACAACAGTGTTACATTGGGGCAGTTTTCTTTTTACTAGTCTACTTCTTAGGTTGGCCTTTCATAATACAGTAAAAAGGCACACAAAAGCCCATTTAGAATCGAGAATATAGTCTTGTCGGCCGAACCCTCTGACTACACTAGAGGCTTCACAGCTTAAAACTTATCTCAGTAGAACCTTCCAACATGTGAAACGATCAAGAAGCAACCTTTTAACAGCCGTACGATCAACTCAATTTGACACATCTCAGTTTCTCACTTGGACTTCCTCTCAGTCATCAACTCTCTTTCTTCAGATCTCTGCGTCTTCTCCTCTGTTTCAATGTCGCTCCACCTTCTTCTCCTTCTTCTGCTACTTTCCCTGACACCTTCTCTGCTCAAAGCGTCGGTGCATGAGTACAGAAGCGAGAGATTCATGTCCAAAGGCAACGCCTTTGTCTTTCATGGCGGCAGCGAAGGCATCTACTCCTCTTCTCCCTCCGAAAATTTCACCTCCGACTCTGATTCCCTCTCCTTTATCCGGTAAAGTTTTGATTTTTTTTACCTCTCTGTTCCATTTCTTGAACCAAAAGGCTGTAGCTTTAGTCAAAATGGCGTTAGATCTTAGATATAGACAAGTAGTTTTAAGCTGATTAAGCTGTTTCTCTGTGAAAGTTGCTTACTTTGAAACTCTGTTTGTATCTTCTGTGAATCATGTACAGAGTTAAACATTGCTTCCACGTGTCAAAGATTTGAACTTTCCTTGTGTTTGAGTAACATCTTAGCTGTTTCTCTGTTAAAGTTTCGTACTTTGAAACTCTGTTTGTATTCTCTCTGAACCATGTACAGAGTAAACATGGCTTCCACGTGTCAAAGATTTGAACTTTCCTTGTGTTTGAGTAACATCTTAGCTGTTTCTTACTTCGAAACTCTGTGTGTATACTCTCTGAATCATGTGCATTGCTTCCTTGTGTCAAAGAGTTGAACTTTCATTGTGTTTGAGTACATTGAAAGTTTCTTACTTCAAATGTATTTGACAGTTTTGAGAAGATCACATTCCGGAGACCTGAGGAAGTATCCAATACATCATCGTTACCTATCCACGCGGTGGTTTTTGAGGTAGAAGACAGGGAGAACATTGGAGGATCAGCTTACGGTGGGCAGAGAGCTGTCTGTTGCACATCTGATTTGGCGAAACTCGGTGTTTGCTCACATGGTGAGATCATTCACCATCCTTCTTCTAAAGACTCAGCTTGGCCTCAAGTGTTTGGTGTTTCCTTTGTTGAGAATGAGTTGTCTGCTACGTTGCTAACAAGGTCGATTCAGATCACTAGGACTGGAATGTACAACCTCTACTTCATTCATTGTGATCCTGGTCTTAAGGATTTGGTTGTTGAAGGTAAAACCATCTGGAAAAACCCTGGTGGGTACTTACCTGGTAGAATGGCTCCGTTGATGTACTTTTACGGGTTCATGTCTCTTGCCTTTGTGCTTCTTGGCATCTTCTGGTTCTCACAATGCGCTAGGTTCTGGAGAGAAGTGCTTCCTTTGCAGAACTGTGTAACTCTGGTGATAACGCTAGGGATGTTTGAGATGGCGCTTTGGTATTTTGATTACGCTGAGTTCAACGAGACAGGGGTGAGACCAACCGTGATCACTATATGGGCAGTTACGTTTGGTTCTATCAAACGTACATGCGCTCGTGTTATCATCCTAATGGTCTCAATGGGGTATGGTGTTGTGAGGCCAACGCTTGGAGGGTTTCAATCAAAGGTTATCATGCTTGGTGTCACCTTCTTTGCTGCTTCTGAAACTCTTGAGCTGTTGGAAAACGTTGGTGCTGTTAGTGATTTCTCCGGGAAAGCTAGACTGTTTTTAGTTCTTCCCGTTGCGGTTTTGGATGCTTTCTTCATCATATGGATATTCAAGTCTCTTTCTGCTACTTTCAAGAAGCTGCAGACGAGAAGGTTGTTGGTGAAGCTTGATATATACAGAAAGTTCACTAATGCTTTGGCTGTAGCTATCTTGGTTTCCCTTGGTTGGATTTGCTACGAGGTAAATGTCTTTTAATCTAAGGACTGTGAGGGGGATAAGATCTTGTAACTAATGTTTTCAACTTGTGGCAGCTTTACTTCAAGTCTAAAGATGTTTACAATGAACATTGGCAAAACGCTTGGATCATCCCTGCCTTTTGGCAGCTTCTCTCCTTCTCACTTCTTATTGTTATCTGTTCTCTTTGGGCTCCATCACAGAACTCGACGAGGTAAACACCATAATCCAAGAAGAGCCTTTTGATATGTGATCAAGAAGGTTGATGTGATTTGGTTGTTTCTTGTAGGTATGCATTCTCTGGATCTTCTGGTGATTCTAGTGGGGAGTTTGAGAAGGATGATTACACACTAACCCTCATTAAACCATCTCCAATTCCTTCTCACGAAGTGAAAAACACCTCAGAAACTACGTCTTTGCAAGCTGACAAAGAAGAACCAGATTTGGAGGAAGACAAAAGGGAGTAAAGTAGTGAAGACAATAGTACTTACAATCGAACTTCTACTAGTTTGACACTTTTTTCTCTCTTTATAGACACCTCAAAGTTTTATTATATGTATTCTTGTAGGTCATGTGAGTTTAGTTTTGTACAATACTAAGGTCAAGAGACCATAGCAGCCTCTGCCTTCGGTGTTATAGTGTTAAAACTGTGTTTTGCCATGTTTTTTTTACCATATGTAATGTTTGAATTACATTTTCCTAAGTTGCATCTCTACCCTAAAGCTTATTGTTGTCTGGTAACTTATGCTTTGTATGGAGGACAAGGATAAGCAAAACCAGCTATAGCAAACACGCGTGCAAAGGGATGTGACATTGCCATAATGCAACTGAGAAAGAATAAGTTGGCTCAAAAAAAAACAAAGAATCTATTTGGCTGTTTCCATAATAAAAACCCAAAATAGTAAATACTGTAAAATCAAAAGCCAAAAATTTAAATCCAAAAATCAGAATCTAAAATCTAAGAACATTTTTATCTGGGATAGTTAGGAGGGTTTTTACGGGAAAAAGTAAGATGAGTCCCACGGAAAAGAGAATAAATGTTGTCTTTTGTTACGAAATAAAGAATGTGAGTTGTTGATTTTTTACACTGTTCTGCGGGTCTCATGATACGTGGCGACCCGCGATTGTTTGTCTTTTTTGTTTTTTTTTTGTTTTTCAAAATCGGACCAAAAAACTGAATACACATTTTGCGATAAAGAAGCTATAAGAAAACAATCATCACCTGAATAAACAGGTATTTATGACTGAACCCTATAAACTTCTTGAAATAGAGCATTTGGGCCTTGTCTGGCGTGAGCCACCTGATGCAAAGTCTGCAGTTTGGGCCTCAAATTGTAATAATATCTACAATTTGGGCCGGGCTTTAAAACTCCATTCAACTCCATTCCACATTAAAATAAAAAATCACGCTTATGCCATTCTCGTTGTAAAACCCTAGCAAGAGACATAAAGCTTTTGTAGCTTCAGAGAAATTTTGATTAAACCCTAATCTCTCTCCTCTCTTTGGAGCAAAAAAAAAAAATGTCGAAATCAATGGAGGACGAGAATGTTCTCAAATCCGAAATCGCATCATTCGCTTCCTCTCTCGGCTTATCTTCATCACTTCCTTCCTCAGGCTTCAACGACTCCGATTTCCGCAAACCCACTAAACCCCCAAAAACCCAGAAACGAAAAAACCCTAAAAACGACGTCGTCTCCGAGGATGGCACAAAAGGAGACGCTAAAAGCAAGCCCAGATCGAAGGAAGCGAAGAAGCAAACCTCCAAAGAAGCTCCGGCGGCAAACCCTAAGCCAAAGACTGATTTTTTATCGATTGAAGACGAGAAAACCGGTTTTAAAGCCAAAAAATTCGAAAAGTTCAAAACTTTACCTAAGCTTCCTTTGGTGAAAGCGAGTTTGCTTAGCTCTGAGTGGTATAACGACGCGGAGGAGCTCGAGGAGAAGGTCTTTGGTGGAGGAGGTAAAGGGAGAGTGGTGGTTGAGGATTTGAAGAGTGTGGTGGAGGTTAAGAGGGAGATGGGAGAGAGGTTGATGTGGCAATACGCTGAGGATTTTGTAAGTTCGCAAGGGAAGAGTGGTGATATGAAGATGGTGATTTCTGCTCAGAAGTCTGGGACGGTTGCTGATAAGATCACTGCTTTTGAGATTATGGTTGGGGAGAATCCTATTGCTAATATGAGGTCTCTTGATGCCTTGTTGGGTATGTTTTGGATGAAGGTTTTTTGTTTATGTTTATGTTTCTTTTTAGGTTAATTATTCAGACACTTGTTGACTTTGTTTATTGTAGGAATGGTGACTTCGAAGGTTGGGAAGAGATTTGCGTTCAAGGGACTTAAGGCTCTATCTGAGATTTTGATCAGGCTGTTACCTGATCGCAAGCTGAAGACGCTTTTGCAGAGACCTTTGAATAGCATTCCAGAAAATAAGGATGGTTACTCGCTTTTGATGTTTTGGTACTGGGAGGAATGCTTGAAACAGAGGTAAATAAAATCTACTGTCCGAGAGAATATACTTTCTAGATTCGTTCAGAATGTAGCTTTGCTTGAATCATGCCACGAACGATGTGTCCAAGCTCTGTATCGTGTATTGTTACTTGTTCCGGTTTGATGGTTTTGCTTAAAGGCTTACTGTGCTGGCTTTTGTAGGTATGAGCGCTTTGTTAACGCCCTTGATGAATCATCTAAGGATATGCTTCCAGAGCTAAAAGACAAGGCTTTAAAGGTATATGGTATTTACCACTCTGCGTCCGCTAGCCTCTTTACTAGCACTGGCTATTATGATTTATTTATCATATCAGATATTTGAGTGTTAGCAATGTAATATCATTCTATGGGTTATGCATGATTTCGTTGCAGAGGTTTCAGTTTTCTAATATATATGATTGTTTTTTATTTTGTTTGGTAACATGATCAAGATCTTAACTTATTGTAATTGATTTTTTTTGGTTTTGTTTTGGTGGTAGACTATATACTTCATGTTGACAAGCAAATCAGAACAGGAGCGGAAATTGCTTGTGTCATTGGTGAATAAGGTATTGTCAATTGTTCTTTGGAATATCAATTAATTTTATCAACTGTGAAGTCTCTAATTGTTCTGTGAATTACTTTACACAGTTGGGAGATCCTCAAAACAAGAGTGCATCTAATGCTGATTATCACCTGACAAACCTTTTGGCTGATCATCCTAACATGAAGGTGTTGCTTTCAACCTTCTTATGTCCTGTGTCGACATTTCTTTGTTTATTTGGTTATTTGGAGTCTTCTCTTTTGCTTAAAGGTATACTTTATTTTTTCAGGCTGTGGTGATTGATGAAGTGGATTCCTTTCTCTTTCGTCCTCATCTTGGGCTACGTGCAAAGTATCATGCTGTATGTCCTTTTATTTAACATTCCTATTTTCAAACAAATTTCGTTTTTCGCTCTTATACTCTTTTTAGGCTCACTATAACCATTTTTTTCTTCTGATTCACGATTTTTGTCATCGTAAATTAATATATGTTAGCTTATTAACTCCTGTAAATTTTACAGGTTAACTTTCTGAGTCAAATTCGATTGAGCCATAAAGGAGATGATCCAAAGGTGGCAAAACGCCTAATTGATGTTTATTTTGCCTTGTTTAAGGTATATAACTGCCATTTAAAGTCTATATAAGTGAGAAATCAAACATTTTTATGATCTTCACAAAGTTTGTGTCTCTCCGTTTCCACTTAATTTCATAATCTCTGAGACGTCTACTGCTCCGAAATGTTTTCTTTTGGGGTGTCAATAGGCATAACATGACTGTCGTCCGAGTCCGAAAATAAGAATGTGTTTCCATTCTTGTAGGTTTTAACAACAGAAGCAAATAAGAAACCAGGCGCAGATGACAAAGTGGCTGATAAGAAAAATGCAAACTCTAAGGACACAAAAGAAGACAAGTCCTCTGATTCGCCTGTTGAATTGGATTCCAGAATTCTATCAGCTCTACTAACGGTTAGTCTGGATATATCTTTTTATTATATATACTTATGGAATCTAGTAGCATTGAGACTTTATAGATCAACTTATTCTTTATCACTCCGTTATGCAGGGTGTTAACAGAGCTTTTCCATATGTTTCCACTGACGAAGCAGATGATATAGTTGAATCACAGACGCCGGTGCTTTTTAAATTGGTAATTCTGAAAGTCTCATCATATAAGCTTTGTTTCAACAGTTGCAACCAGGACGTTAACAAAGAATCTGGTATCTTGAATGTGTGCAGGTACACTCGAAGAATTTCAATGTGGGAGTTCAATCACTGATGCTTCTTGACAAAATCTCATCCAAGAATAAGATTGTCAGTGATAGATTTTACCGTGCATTGTACTCGAAACTTCTACTCTCCTCCGCAATGAATTCTTCTAAGGTAAGCTCAATTTTGTAGCTTCTGTTTTCCTACTTCCCCATCACGTCAATTTGTTTTTAGTTCATGAATGCATCACTATCCTTACGATTTGGTTAACATTAGTATGTCTCGCTGAAATGATTTGTCATTCTTAATTTCAGGCTGAAATGTTTATTGGGCTTCTTCTCAGAGCCATGAAGAACGATATCAATATAAAGCGTGTGGCTGCCTTTTCCAAAAGAATCTTGCAGGTTGGTGACATTTCATATTTTCTTCATCAACGCCATCTTTTGTCGCTTAATATTGATGCCAATATTCCGTTGTTCATATCAGTTGGTCCAGTGCCTGAATCTTGTTTCTTTTGTTATCTTGATTATTTATATTAGCACGTGAAGATTGATGGCAATAGCAGTGTATCGAAAATTTTGTCATCTCTAAGGTTTACTCTTATATAATTGATCTAGGTTGCGCTACAACAGCCACCACAGTACGCCTGTGGATGCCTCTTCCTTCTGTCTGAGGTGCTAAAAGCAAGACCACCTCTTTGGTAAGCTTTTTCGTTCTGTTAAAACATATTGATTGATGTTTTTTCTCTGATTATTGATTGGGTCTTTCTATTCACCATTCAGGAACATGGTGGTCCAGAGAGAATCAGTTGTGGAAGAAGAAGATGTAGAACATTTTGAGGATGTGAAAGAGGAAGACGATATTGATCCCATTAAGGAAGCAGAGAAAGAAGGGAATGTTGTTGAAGTTGATCATGAAGATGACAAAATCACAAGTAGAGATGATGATGATGATAATTCTTCAGATGACGAAGAGGCTTTGGCGGCCAGGCAATCTGATGAAGAAGATGATTATGCTTCTGATGATGGTGAAGAGCTATTTATTAAAGAAACCTCCCAAAAAACCATGGAGGTTGTTAATGATAGCGAAAAAATAAGCCAGGCGCCATTAAAATCAAGTTGTCTTCCTGGAGGATACGATCCTCGCCATAGAGAACCTTCTTACTGGTCAGTTAATCTCGTCTTTCATCCCAATTAAATTTAAGAAGCTAAATAGTAACATATGCACTTCTAATTAGTTTAGCAACTTTCTTGATATATATATTCTTGGTTGTAACTGAATCCTTGATCCTAAATTCACAGTAACGGAGACCGTGTGAGTTGGTGGGAATTGGTTGTTCTTGCTTCACACGCTCATCCCTCTGTGGCTACTATGGCTGGAACCCTTCTCTCAGGAACTACTATCGTTTACAACGGAAACCCGTTGAATGATCTATCTCTAACTGCTTTCTTGGATAAATTTATGGAGAAGAAACCAAAGCAGAACACATGGCATGGCGGCTCCCAGATCGAACCATCCAAGAAGGTAAAACAGCTCAAGCCTCAACATCTACTGCTTGAAAACACTTTGTTATCTATTTTCACCTGTAATGGTTTTTTATTATTCTTCTTCATGTGCAGCTTGACATGTCAAACCAGATGATTGGAGCTGATATACTCAGGTTAGCAGAAGAAGATGTGTCTCCTGAAGATTTGGTCTTCCACAAGTTCTATGTGAACAAGATGAACAGTACAAAGCAATCAAAGAAAAAGAAGAAGAAGAAGCTACCTGAAGAAGAAGCTGCTGAAGAACTTTACGATGTGAACGATGGTGATGGTGGAGGAAACTACGATAGTGATGTCGAGTTCGAAGCTGGTGACGAGAGTGACAATGAGGAGATTGAGAATATGTTGGATGATGTTGACGATGACGCTGTGGAAGAAGAGGGTGGTGAGTATGATTATGATGATCTGGACAAAGTAGTGGGAGATGATGATGATGAGCTTGTGGCTGATGGGAGTGATGCAGATATGGACACAGAAATGGATATGCTTGATGGTGAAGATCTAGATGAGGATGTTGATGACATTGCTGATGATGATGTTGGAGATGATGATAGTGATGGTGGTGGTAACAAGAAAAAGAAAGGAAAAGGAAAACGGAAATCTCCATTCGCAAGTCTTGAAGAGTACGAGCATTTGATAGACGAGGAGGATGATTCAAAGTCGAAAAGAAAAGTAACATCAGAGCCCAAAAAGAAGAAAAAGAAGAAGACTACCAAAGCGTCAGAATAGAAAAGGTTCATTGTCGTTGATACCTTGAAGCAAAAGGTAAGAATCGTTGCTTGCTATGGAAGGCTTCTTCTGTTGTTGAGTTGTACTAAAAACTCTGGAGACAATTACTCCAATTTTGTGGTGTTTTGTTATTTCTTCTACTTTAAGTTTTCATCTCTTAAAACAAAAAAAGATTTAGATTTTGTATGATTATGTTATCTAATTACTTGAGACTTTATAGCTGAAACCATAATTCAAAATTTCCTTTATATCCATAAGTCCTGCATCTATTTTGAGTATTTTTCATTTTTACATAAAAATATTGATACTATTTGATATAATTTATCCTTGGTACAGTGAAAGCATCATGGTAGGCGTGCGAGTCCAAGTTGAAACAGTGGTAATTGTGGGTAGTTAGTTAAAATCATGTATAATCTTTAGTTGAGTGATATGAATGATTAAGACATGCTTAGATCATATGTAACCTTAAAATTCTACTTTTTTGGGGAAGAAGCCATCTTTTTCATTTAAAGCTTAAAAACATTTCCAAGCGTAAACCCATTATCAAAAGTAGAACTCAAAAACATATCCAAATCCACCAATTTGTCAGGTCAAATCTGTAGATATTCATGTTCATACATCTAAAGATACTAATCTATAAATAAACATATCATATGATACATTTACATCCAGCAACGATTACAACTACTACATTAATAAATGTATGGAACACGGATTATTTATCATTAGACGAAAAGTCCAAAAAACTAAAGTAGATTAGTTGCACAAGTGTCGAGCACTTGCATGAACAACAACACCATCACAACTGGCTTGTCTCTACTTTAATTTTGGACTCTAGTTTTAATATAATCTATGAACTTCTCTTAATTAAGTTTCTAACTTTTTTAGTAATATATTAAAATCTCAAGACAAAAGAAACACAAAAATGCTAGAAGTATTACACCTTAGATTTCTAAGTAATAACTCTATGGCGCTACTTTAAATAAAAGTAATCAGCATAACGCGATTTAATCAAATCAATGATTAGGAATCAGAAGTAATTGATATCCCAAATATCAGGTTGCTTGTCTGTCTCTTGTAATGCATGTATAGATAATGTACGCTCATGCATCATTTTCCTTGCTTAATCTTCAATAAATTCACTCTTTAAATAAAAATACTATTTTTTAATCAACCACCTTTGATCAAATTATTAGGCTTAGTTTTGAGGTCTACATAAGTATATGACATTGGACACTTATCTAATCTCTAATCATGAGCGAGTACTATCTTACTATTTGATTTATTTTGCTATAATAATGAGTATATGTTCGACCATCTATAGAAAGAAGTATTTAAAAATTCTTAAATGATTAGCTTACCATCCACAACTTTTTGTTCGATAAAGACAGAGGGTAAGGTACTATGGTCTTCTCCACCTAATTTCTCGGAAATACCAAACTAACTTTAAGGATTTGTAATATGCCTTTGCACTGAATAAGAGGACTGAATTTTGTCAAAAGAACAAAATTGCCTTGTGATTGGTGGTTGCATCCTGTCACAAAAAATATTATTCAAGTAAATTCCGTTCTATAGAGTAACTTTTTTCAAAAAATATTTCTTTTCTACCAATTTCGTTATATTTTATAAAGATAAATTACAAAGATTAGTTAAGTTTAATAAGTTTTATTTCTTTTGTTAAAAATTCACAATCACATAAAGCTATGCATTTATTATATAAATTTTAATGTATTTTCTTAATATATGTGAACAAAAAAATAATCTTTATGAAACAGAAGAAGTATATAATTTTCATCATTTTTTTAGCATGAAATTTTTGAATCTTAAATCTGCAATATTTCTATATATGAAATTAACTTTAATAAAGTGTAATTTAAAAACAATCACATATTTAAAAGTTTGAATCTACAACATAATAAAACGAACCCCTTTCAGTTTTACTATTTTTTTAAAATTCAGTTTTACTGATTCTTACGATTCTTTTTGTTCTAGATTTTGAAAATTTAGAGCCAGTATGTTATTCAAATGAATTAAGAAATAAAAACATTATTCGACAGATGAAGATCATAATTGTTATTTTGTTATGTACAACGACAAACAATTAGCATTATCAGGTAATATTCAACAAAAATTGTGGACACGATGTAATCGTTATCTAAAGAACATCACTCTTTGTCCGATCATTAGATGACAACACGCAATAAGAGGTTGCCTACACATCTACACACCCATTCACACACGTAAACGTATATATCTACAAATAACTATATAGCATAGTACATTATAAAATAGAACAAGGAAAATTTATTGAATATACATGAATATTTATATAAAGTTTAAATTTTTTGATTTATGATGAGTGGCATCTATTGAGGCAAAACAAAATGGCATAGGTAAGAAAATAGACATATGATGCAAATAACAAAACAGATGGGGTTTATATATGACATCGTTGAGTATTTCGTAATTTTAGTGTACTAATCTAAAAAAAATGTTATGCAATAGTATTGTAGGCATCTCGTATGTTACAAGATTATATTATCATTCATTTCATCAATACCTAGTAGAACTTTCTTAATATAATTTTAATTAACAAATGTGAAATACTGTGCAAAATTTATTACGGGAATATATCTATAAAAAATAAAAAATTCGATTATAAGATA